TAAAAAGGATTCAACCTTCTTCCAATTTGATAACGGAGGGCGCGAACTTTTATTCTATAGAAAAGTGTGGAATGCAATTTTTAAATCTATTGTGCTTGATTTAATTACAAAATTTTTTAATTTAATTTAATGATTTGAATTCACATGATTGTGTTTAACTTAATTAAAATTTAGTAGAATTCATTTGTAATTATATACTTTATATATGTATATATATATATTATTTTGAATTACATAATTGAAAGCAATTATCTCTCAACTTGTTATCCATTTCACTTCTTTTATTTTTATTGAAAAGAGATTATTATACTCTTTTTTTTTTTTTATCAGCAAAGTAAATATTACATATTATTTTAAAGAGTACAAGGAGTACTCCAACCCATATACAAAGGAAGAAGACATGATCAGACCACACGCCCAACAGTCAATACCATTATAAAGAAATTGCAAAACTAACAAACAAAAACTTTCTACCTAGAATCCAATTCATGCCGCCCACAATTTATGCTTATAGAATGTCTTCAATAGCCTTTTATGCCTTCTTACTTCTATAGCAACCTGTATTGGATTATTCTACCACTTAGAAAAGGAAAAAACACACCTTTGCATCTTAGTTTTAATCCAGAAAAAGATCTTGGCTTGCATCATATCCACCACCCTTTCCCTAAAACTCACAAGATGCTTAAAAACTCCCATATTCCTACAGTACCAGAGATACCAAGAAACAGCAAGGAAAATACATGCTCCCATTTCCTTCCCTATAATCTTACCCAAACCATGTAGAAAGAACTCTGCAACTCCTTCTATTGTATTTGATAACACAGCCTCAATACCCCACCAGTGCAACACTTGCACCCAAAGAGCTTCCATATCCCCAAACACTTCTTGATTCCAGCCTTTTAAAAACACTTTCAACAGTTTTAGTTTCTGCTTACATCTATACCCTACAAACCCATCCACCTCTAATTCATTCCACTTATCTTCTACTGTTTTCTTGAAATCAGGATGCTGCTACCAAGCATCCAAAACCCTGAACGGTTTTGGCCCCCAGTCTGTGATTTTTGTCTTCGTAAGTATGGCACAATGATCCGATATGGTTCTTCTCAGCCCTTGCTGCACCCATTCACCTCCCATAGTAAACATCTCTTCAGTCATCAATACTCTATCTAACCTACTCATAGAAGAACCATCTGATCTATACCATGTAAACCACCGATTTGCCAATCTAATGTCAATTAGCCTAGTTGTCTCAATAAAAGCATTAAAATCGCTCATCTCTGGATTCTCCCCTATTCTTCCCCCCTTTTCTTCAAGACATCTTACGGCATTAAAATCACCTGCAATCAACCATCGTCCTCCCTTCTCTAGAATTAGTGTCCGCAACTCCTCTCACAACTCAACCTTCTTCCTTCTATCATTTGGAGCATACACATTCACAAAATAACATTGCAACTTCTTTGTACCCCATTCCCCTGAAACACCCAAGAAATCGTCACTCGTAAAAACTTCCCTCTTCACAAAATTCAACTTGTCCCAAACACACAACAGACCTCCTGATGCTGCCGTTGACTCCTTCATAACCCAATCGAAGCCATCTGAATTCCAAAATCTTCTACATAAATTACCATCAATCTCCTCTAATTTGGTCTCCTACAAGAATAAGAAATCTGGTTTTTCCACTTTTACTAGTTTCCCCACTTCTGTCTTCTTCAATGGTCCCCCCAAACCCCTGACATTAAAAGATAAAAGCTTCATTCTAATAAGAAACCCACATCCCCAAACACCCTTAATTCTGTTTTAGATTCCGCCCCCTCTCCTGATCCCTATCTTCTAACTCTAACAACCTAGACTCAACCTCTTCTTCATTGCCTTGCATTTCAATACCCAACCTTTTCCCCACTCTCATCATCTTCCTCACCTCATGCAAATTAAGTTCTCTTTGAATTACCTGGTTTCTGTGCATAATACATCCATCAGAAAGAGACATGCTGCCAACCCGCTCTACTGTTTTCGTTGCAACCTTTCGAGCCATCTTTTTTCTCCCTTGCCGTAGCTTTGTTCTCGCTGTCACCAACTGCCCCTCGCTCCGCCCAGATTTCTGCTAGCTCCTTCGGGTAACACTCTTCTATTTTCATGTGCCTTTTACCCATCAAATCCCTTCTATCAATCTCCCGGATAGACGGGCCTATTTTCTTTACTGCTCCTGACCATCCCACTTGGGTTGGCTACCAGCCCATCATACTCCTTCAGCCCATCACACTTATCCACTACCAGCCCACAATCCATAAATAATCCATGTTCGTCATCAACCCGAGAAATTGCCCTGCACTCCAAATTGAAACCACTGTTACCATCATTTTCGGCCGTTTCGTTTAAATTCAAAAAGCCTTCCTTCCTTGACTGCATATCTTCAATACTATCAACTTCATTGTTTTCTCCTTTTTGTTGTCTTATATATCAAAAAATTGAATGATAAGCTTTTCTTAGTAAAAGAATTGAATGTTTTGCAGGTTGTGTTTTCAAATTTGGTGGAATTGAAGTTGTCTTGGATTAAAATAAATCAGTTGTGGATAACATCTTCCTACAGTTTCAGAAAGCTTAAAAGTCTACAAATTTCTACTTGTAGCAGCTTAGAATACCTTTTTACCCCTTTCATGGTATCAGGCCTTGGGCACCTCGAGGACTTGATTGTATCACGCTGTAGAGATTTGAAACAAGTGATTATGGTAAAAGGAGTTGAGGAGGTAGTGAACACAGAGTTGATATTCCCACGGCTAAACTCCATTGTGCTTTGGAATTGTGACAAGTTGTCAAGTTTCTATGCTGGAAGTTCTGCACTCAAGTTCCAATCGGCCATAAAAATTAAGATATACAGGTGTCTAAACATGATTACATTTGCTTCTACATTTTCAACAGAGCAAGAGAAAGAGACAGCTTATCGAGGAGCTGAGGGGCATCTTGGAGAGAAAGAACCTGATATTCAAAGTGGGACTATATTCTTTGATACGGTCAGTTTTTTCTTCACAAAGTTAACATTTAAAGCAGTTTTAATTATCGTTACTCACAGACTATAATTTCCACTTCTTCGCAACATCACTCTTGCTCTATTTTCTTCAATTAAAAAAAGCTAATTATAGTGCTTACAAATTTAGTAAGTCATTTAAATGTGTTTCAAAACAGAAACAAAATGCACATAATACTTCTTCGAGTCATATTTAATTGTTATATTTTATTTAATTATGATTGCTAAGTCT